GGCAGTTGTCTCATTAAAATCTCCAGTGGAAGAAATAAAGTGGATTTCTCCAACATAAAACACATTGCACCACTGCAGAGAGATGAAGCATTTACCTAATAATTTATGGACTTTTTTTTTTCTTGCCATGTGAACGCTGTAATTAGCTTGATAAATAAGCAAAACAAAACCTCTCTTAAACGAGTCTGCAATTAGAACCAATTCATTAATTGACTTTAGATGGAGGCTGGAGAAGATACTTATTCTTTTTTCGTGCATAGATATTTTTTGTTGGAAGCGTGCAAGCAAGGGACAAGGACAGCTTGCCTGCAGCATTGTTTTGCGAAGCACCCTGGGATGTTGGCTTTAAGTAAGGAGATCTTGTGTTACCATTTACCTCAGTGAATTCAAAAGATCTTGGGGTTTAGGAATTTTATTTTCTTCTCACAATATGTAGTTTATGATCACTACAGTAAATTGTTTCTTTCTAGTGCATGCTCAGGGTATTTTGTGCCCTCACGAGCAGAAGGCGGAATTTTTTTTCCCCTTAGAGACTACAAACTTCTTTACTTAAAAGTGTATCTAAAAAATTAATTAACGCACAGCTGACCAGTTCTTAGATGTGATGGTTGCATTAGTTTTCTTTTTCTTTGAATTTGTTTTTTACCTTGGTGATCCTGCTAATAACACACTTCCTGTCCTGGGGTGGCTACGCTCACTCTGCTGTATCTGTGGAGGAACAGCGTTGTCGCCTTAGGCTGCTCTCTTGATATGGACTACAAAACATCTTTCTCTCTTCCTTCTCAGTACATGGCGAATGGGATAAATTGTAGTTTGTAGAAGATAGCTTGAAAGGAAGATAGCACTGTTTGTGATTTAGGTTCAGCTCACAGGAAGTTACAAGGACATGGGATGTCTGGACAAATTCATAGGTACATGCAGAAATTATGCAAAATTAAAAGCTAATGCAGACAGCCATTTTAGGACTGGTAAGCTGAAATATATTACATTTTAATTCCTAGGTTTAGATATCCTTAAACACAATGTAGCAGTCCACTGCTTGATAATAGAGAGATAACAGAGTGACATATTTTCATGACAGAGCAGTGTTTTAGTCAACAGTGCTTTGTGGCTTCACAGCACTTAAAGTGGACCTTCACCCCTTTCACAACAAATCACATCAGCATTTAGCCATGCATGCTGATATGAAATCATCTTACACTCATTAGTTAAATACGCTTCCTGGTTCTCTTAAGCATTAGTGGTGTGGCCCATGCCTAAGAGATGCATCCTGGGAAGGTTACAACACAGAGCATTGCTGGGATATCTCATCTGTAAACTGCAAAATCACACAAGATCTCAGGGAAATGCATTTTCCTCCCCTGATATGATGTGCATGGTCACATGTTATAGTCACATGTGCCAGAGTTCGAAAATGGCCACTGTGAGAAGAATGGGGAGTAAAAAAGATAAATGAGGTATGCAAAGAATAAAAAGCCGGCAATGATATACAAGTATCTGTTTGTATATTGCTATTACTAAACATTTTTCAATATGTCTTTGTTGTCATTTTTAAGAAAAAGGGTAAAGTTCCTCTTTAAGCTGTATTAGTGCTGTACTGCAACAACACAGTTGAGTACTGTCCGTGATACTTTATTTGCACTAACAGTTACATTTTCAGGACACACTTTTGGGGTGTTCACTTCTTTTCGGTCAAAGCAGTACTGATACACAAAACTTTAGCTTAACCTTAACACTTGATATTTTGTTAAAGCTTTGTGCAGCTAAAACGCTGTTCTGTCGTCAAAATCTGTCTCTCTTTGCTTTTATTATTTAACTTTAAAATTTTCATAGGGGCCGAACGGCAGTGAGTGAATAGCCGAATGCCGCCGAGCAGCTCTGTGGTACCGAGCAGAGTATAGGGAACATTTTAAACGCTTTAAGTTTAAAATGCATCAGTTTAGTGCTAACAGTGATTGACAGTGCTAGAATTATTGCTCTCACTCTGACGTTCGCAGTAATATGTGCAGCGCAATTGTCGTTTTTGCACGTAGGCGCACCGATGCATGTTTGCGTGTGTATGTGCGTGCACGTGGGGGGCTGGGGACTTAAAAAACATTTTTTGCATTTTTTTTCTTTTTCTTTTATGTTACTTAAATTTTTATAACTTCTAAACACTTTTTTTTTACACTAACCCTATTGCTATTACATAGGGGGCTAACAAGCACCCCTATGTAATAGCAGATAGGGTGTGACAGATCCTTTTTATGGAGACATCAGGGGTCTTTCAGGGGTGTACCTGCACCAAGGCTGGGTTTACACTGCTGAGGTGTGCTACAATACAAATCTTAATGTGTAGTATTTTGAACATCACCATGCGTTGCAGTGAGGCTGACCGTTTTCTTTTTGAATGGGCTGCCAATGTCCCGCAACAGACATTTTATTTCTTAAACAACCCACACCCAACGCACAGATATAAACAATCTCTGGTGCTCTGAGACAACACACTGCAGTCCATTTGGTTGTTATCCTATAAAGAAAAACACTTGAGTTCTATGTAATCTACTGCAGACAGATTCCAAAACACTGGATTTGGATGAGTCTGTTTCCAGAGACCTTTGTTTTGTTTTTGATGCATCACCAATCATATTTAAACCTACAAGGCAGATTTTGAATCTAATTGGTTGCTGAGTTTTTGATCCATTTTGGCTGTCTACAGGCAGAGTAATCAGAGTCCATTTAGGCGTACTTTTTCATTTCTGGATAAAACACTGCATCCCTGAGTGGGTAGACTGTACGCTACTGTGTATATACAAGCTTAATTTCCAATTTTGCACCTATTAATAAGTTAGTTAGTGACATCCACCCCTGAGATTTAGTGAGCACATAACTAAAACAAAGCTGAAATGGAGTGCTGGAATTGGTGTTTTTACACTCCTGTTGGTAAGTGCCTGGTTTTAATTTGCATATTAGTGAAATGTGGCCTTAGATTTGGCGTGTCCAAAATATAGAGTTGATTGCAGGCGGATATGAGTTCTGTGTTTGCAACCAATAGTTACAGCTAAAAGAAATGTATTTGATTCCTGTTAGATCTGCAGTTAAAAGGAGCGTCAGGAAAGAACTGCAGACACTTATATAAATTCAAAGATTAAAAAAGCAACACATTGTTCTACATATTAACAAATTTAGTCCATTTGTTTTCAGAACTGCCTTATCTGTTACATAAATTAACCATACATTCCACATGCGCATTTTAACTCATGAGAGCTCTTGGTGTTTGCAGTATAATATAAACTATGTTATTCATGCAAGCACTGATTTGAAATGAAAGTGTTTTTCTGTGCCACTCCTAACCAGTCGCTGATTCTAACTGGTTCTTTTCATGCAGGTTAAACATAACGTATGATCAGTTCTCTTTTCACTGCTTCCAATTAAACCTTGCTCGTTAGTTTAACCTCAAGGTAATGCCATCAAACAATGCATGTCAGGGAAACACTGCCCACACTAGCAGTCGTTAATTTTAATTGCCTTGATATTAAAGATTAAGAAGCACTGGAGAAGCTACGATGGATTCCTATACCACGTCAAGAATATCCTGCACCCTGAGGCCTCCCAAGGCTCTGGCGATATTAAAATGGAAAGGGGGGAGGACGGAAGGAAGCCTTTATTAGACAGGGCTGTTGTTGAGACTACAGAATTGTCCCTCCTCTGCACACACCAGAGATTTGTTCACTCTAAAGCTGTTAATAAAGCAGTAATTTGATTTTTTTTTTACAATAATTATTCGCCAGCCTTCATTAATGTATTATTGCTCTGCAGGTTAATGGTAAGCAAAATATATAAAATGTAACGTCAAGTATCGGCCAGGGATGGCATTGAGAATGAGGTTTGAACTGTGGATCACAACAGATGCAATGGAGAACAATTGTGTAATATATTTGATTTGCCTTTACAAAAAAATATAGTATTTCACTTCTCACCTCTCTGTGAGATACGTACAGGTCTATTCACTAAAGGGTGAAGAGTTTGGAGAAGCCAGGAGAAGTGAACAATCTAGGACAACATAGCTGATCTGGCAAAATTCTCCAATTCAGCTCACTTTCCAGTTCAGCTCTGTTGTCTTAGATTGTTCCCTTCTCCTGCCTTCTCCAAACTCTTCACCCTTTTGTGAATAGACCCTTTAGTCAATCTACTAAAATGTGAATCATCCTGTTTTGTGTGGTCACTGATATGGACTGAATAACATTTTGACTTCTTACAGTTCTTAGATCTCTCTATGTGAGTATGTTGCTGCCTTCATTATGGGGTTCAGCCACTTTGTAATGGCTGCAAAACGTGGAAGGAACTGTCAATCTAAGTATAGAGATCTCAGAGTCAGAGATGAGAAGCTGATGTATGAATTATGGCATCTACCCAAAGCTAAAGTATATTTTAGTTTTAACAAATGTGTCATATCTATCAGACGGGATTGCAGTATCTACTAATAAAATAGTTTTCAAATTTTTAAGACACAAGTTCCTTCAATGCTAAAGCCTAACTGAAACTCAAAGTGCAATATATAGTTATCACATGATTTTTGCATATCTGGTGCCTGCATTTCTCAGCTAATATGTGTGTTAAAACTGACCTATCATAAAAAAAATTCTCACTGCTCCCTTGTTCACCTTCTTCCAAAAAACACATAAATGATAGCGGAATCCCCAAAATGCTATCCCTGGCTAGAAACTTTGGGAACCCACTGTGGCTGGTCACCTGACCAGATGCACAGACAACTGTGAAGTCTAATACATCCCTTCAGCAGAGATTATATAACCAGAGGCAATAGAGCCTTGGCCAACATCTTCAGCGTTTATCTCGTATCAATTACATTTTATTTGTCTGTGTTTATTGCATATTTATTATTCATATTCTGTAGGAGTTTTTACTATAAGAAAACAATGGCAATCAATTATGACATTTTATTTTGCAATTAAATTAAAATCATGGCAATTTTAAAACATTCTTAATTTTTTTTCTTTAAGGTATCCAACTGGTTCGGGAACAAGCGAATCAGGTACAAAAAAAACATTGGAAAGTTTCAGGAAGAAGCAAACCTCTACGCGGCTAAAACAGCTGTGAATGCAGCTCATGCAGTTGCGGCTGCTGTGCAGAATAACCAGACCAGCTCTCCTACAACACCAAATTCAGGTAAGTGTGTAAACTGCCTTCCAGTACAAGACACAAAACCAAACACTGTTGAGCTTGATTGTACATTCTTATAAATAATCATGGGGCTAGTGGGGCAATATATCATAGTCCATAGAGATTTGTATTTCTTTATAAGTGAAGTGACCCCTACGTTACAGTGTTTACTTGTTAGAATCTCAAGGGTAACAGTTTCCAAGCTGACTAGTTAGAAGCATTAGTAGTGGTACACAGGCCTTTGTGTGGGCAATTTTTATGTGCAGTGGCCAACATTTCAAAATGGCTGGCTTTACTTTGCTTTGTACTACCAACATATTGGATTGCAGCATGTTTTAAATGGAAGGACTTGTTCTTTAATGCTTATGTGACAGCAACATAATAGCAGTGTGATTATGTACCTTTCCTAAATTAAAATGACTATGCAGCTAAGAACATAGACTACAGGTTAATGCACACAATAACCTTTTCATATGTCCATCCTATTTCAGTCACTTCTGTGTTATGCAGCTTGAAAGGTTTTTTGCGTTCACAGAAAATTTGACCCATAGAATCCTTTTTGGAGTACACTTGTCATTGTGCATTCATAATTGTTTGAAGTCTGTGGTAAATTAACTACTTCTATGCCTTCATGTACATTGCCACACGTGCTGCCCTTGGAATTAAAGTAACTTACCTCAACTTCTATCAGTCAGATGAACCAAGTGAACATGAGAAACAAAAGTGTTTAAAGTAGATCTTGTACCCAAATGTAAGACCTGCTTATTATATACTGCCCCCCAACCCACCCATGGCCAACCACTGCAATTCATTTAAAAAAGAAAACTGTGGAGGGGAAAAATATCTTATACCCAGCTTCTGCTAACTGAACCTAGATAAGGGTGACACCCTGGTCCTTCCTGCGAGATCTTGGGAAAGCTGAGGATTCCAATTCTTACATCAGGATGCTACTGCACTGTACCAGGGCCTCTTCTTATGTGATTTGAGATACTCAGTGTTACCAGCATCTCACTGAAAGGATCATGGCATCATCCTTTCCATTGTGGAAGTCGGATATAATGTAAGTATGTTTATTTAACTTTTCTTCACAGGTTTGTATTTTTAAGTGGATTGCAGTGTTTTGGCATGGTAGAGGCAGAATTTAATAGGTAGCGGTAGCGAGGAGTGACCCGTTCAGGTGTTAAAACAGACCCATTGTTTCACCTTGCTTTTTTAATTCAGCTGATTTGAACTTCCAGAGGAGTAAAGGTTCTCAAGCAGCTGTTTCTCATAACTCCATGCTGGGTATTGTGCACCTGCTCACTTTATGTGCTTTCAGTAGGTCTGAGTAGAGGTCATTGCCCACAGATGCACAAGAATGTGTGTGAACCTTCCCAATTCACATGTAGGGCTTGCTGAAACCCTTCCACTTATAAAAAAGGAGTTTCAGTGATGAAAAGCTATGCTGGCCATACATGTACCAGTCAGATCATTTGATGAAATTATTGTTTTGATATTCTGATCAGATTTTGCAGTTGTTGAATATTTTCACTACAATTTCAGTTTTCGACTGAACGTGATTTTAAATGTGTATGGAGCAGTCAATTTAATTTTTACAACTATCACTTTAAAGTTTTACATTTTTAAAAGATTTTTGACAATGAATGTGATCTGATTGATCCAGGAAAATTTAACATTGCATGTACTTTACAGTATTGATTGTTGCAGACTTCAACTTAATTATAACAATCAGTTTAAATGGTCGATTTCTTGAAAAATTGATATATATATGGCTAGCATTAGTGATTTATCTATCTTTCATCTGCCCATCTGTTTGTCATTAATATTGACTTTTTATTTCCTTTTCTTTTCTACAACAGCCTCATAATAAAGGGTCTAATGACAAGCTGTGCCCTGATTGTCATTAGACCCTAATTGTGCAAAATTTTGTTACCTTCCTTCTTAACACTCTTCCCATTCTTTGTGAGCTTCGGTAGGGTTATAATAAATGCTGCCTAGAATATGCAGCATTTAACAGTAAAAAATCCCCTATTTATTTCTTCATACTTTTTTTTTTCAAGCATCCTTTTCTTTTATTCAGCTCCTTCGCTCTTTCCTTTCCTAGGTTCTTCTGGTTCTTTTAATCTCCCAAATTCAGGCGACATGTACATGAATATGCAGAGTCTGAATGGGGATTCTTACCAAGGGGCCCAAGTTGGAGCCAATGTGCAATCACAGGTAGGAGAGACGCCCCTGAGTCATTCCTCAGTGCACCTCCCACAGCTACCCCAAAGTACACACACAGACCAGCGGTGTGCACACGATTGGCAGCATGTAGGCCCTTGCCATTTGTAACTCTTGTGAATGCCTTCGGCTCTGACTTGAGTGCTCAGGGGAAAGGGTTTTTGGGATGAAGAGTCCTCAGGCAACCAGAACCTCCTTTTTGCGAATTTCCCCAGACTTAAAACCATACCTCCCGAAACAGATATTTTACGCGTAGCTCTTATGTTCTTGGAGAACAGAAGAACTTGACAGGGTCCATCTTGCAAATATCACTCTTTTCCTATGCCTTATCAATTGCTAGATGCATTCTCTAGAAGAGTATATCTAACATGCATCTCTTAGAGAAGATATCATTTTGGTGGGTCACAGGGTATTGCGCTCTTTGACGCTTTTTCATTATAAAGCAGATGTCAACTAACTTGAAATGACTAAAGCATGCTAGATCCACAAAACGTTACATCAATTATGTAGTGAGAAGGCCTACATAAACACTCAATTTAATTGAAATTGTGTTAGTTATGCCTTCCTTTTACACAGTTGTAAGTACATTTTCTTGCTGTAATAGATCAAAATCTGATTACTGGCCTGAAAGGTTAAAACAGACCTACATCTTCCTATCTTTTACAGCAGAGGACTGCGTAATTTTAACCTCTGCTGTTGTCATTGTACTGCACATGTAACCAGCTATGACACCAGCTATTTGAGGGCTTGAAGGATTGGTTGAAAGCTGATATTAGCACACTGGCAACTGGCAACTGGCATGCCTTGAAAGTACCGGTTTTGGTTAACAGTTAAATCAGTGGTTTTTATGCATTAATACCTTAGTGAAGTTAGTGACAGAGAACTTCATTAGCCCATTCTTTAGGAACATGATTCAAAGCCCCCTTCCCACCATCCCCTCTGAAACAACTGGAGTTTTAAATGTAAGGGTCCAAGGGATGTTTTTGTAACTAAGTCTGTCTTTGGATTAAATAGCTTTGTAACTATGTGTGAATTAAAATTCACGTAAACAAGTTAAATGTATTATATTTGATGCTCTTACAGGTGGATACCCTTCGTCATGTTATCAATCAGACGGGCGGATACAGTGATGCTTTGGGAGGGAATCCACTGTACAGTCCACACCACCTAAATGTGAGTAGACTTAGTTTATCCCAATTATACAAAAAAAAACATACTTTACAGATAGAGGGGAAGAATGTATCAAACTAGAGCAGCTAGAATGTGGAGCGGTTGCCCAGGTCAACCAATCAGCTTCTCTCTTCAGTTTGTTCAGTTAATATTTGAAAATGAAAGGTGGATGCTGATTGGTTTCCATGCACAGCTGCTCCAGATTTTGCCTGCTCCAGTTTTGATACATTCCCCTCACAGTGTTTAACCAATACCTTGCATTTTGCTTTTATGATTCAGCAAGAGTCTTTCAAGCATGGAAAATGAAATGCTTCCCTTTATCTCCAGGCTCATCAGCAGCTTTATCTCTTTTGTTGCCGGGCCCTGCCTCCCACCTCACGTGGCCAGGCCATTTTTTTTACTGTTCATCATTTTCTGAATTTTTGCTGTTTTCACATGTTTTCAATTACAGCTTTGAACGTTAGTAAGATACGCCAACCCCCAAACCATATATTTTTGAAAACACAGGACTTGTAGAATTTAAAAGGTGGTTTAATTGATTTTGCATATCTCTTGATAGTTGTGCAAATGTTTATCAAAGCTATATTTTCAATAAAAATACACGGAAATTATTATTAGCGCAGACAAACACAGCAAAACTTCCAAAATTCTTACAAAATTTAAAAGATAAAACTGTATGAAGTTAATAAATAATTTCATATTGTGTCTTTTATGTGAAACGGTGAAAATCACAAGGAATGCAACACTGTAAATAATCAACCTAAGCAAAAAAAACTTGAGCTTGGCTTAAAAACGTTTACCTTTAAATAGCACCCCATATTCATACTAATAAATTGGGGGGGAGGGGGTTGTGTGTTAGTAGATGTAGTTACTAAATCAGGGAACAAAAGTGTAAAAAAGTGCAACTTTTGCACTTTTAACACTGGATGCGTATAAATAGATTTTCGTTTGTAAACAAATCCATTCATAATACTGAACTGTGAAGTAAATGCAGTGGTAGATCCCACCTGCTGACAGTCACATGAATGATTTTGTTTACCTTCAAAACACACTCACACTTTATGAATAGGTCTATGAGTAGACAGAGCTCTTCATACCAGTAATCCCTGGAGGATGTGCTGGGAAAGAGGTGGTCAGATCAGAGCAGGCTGTGGGGAATGGTGCCTAGATCAGAGCAATCTAGGAAGAGGTGGTCTCGATCGGAGCAGTTGTCAGGTGAAAAATGGCTAGAGTAAGGGTACTGGGGTATTTCTTGATGGCTGCAAGCAAGCGGATTGCTGAAGCATTCAATAATTTTGAGCCAGAGCAGACAGCTGAAGAAGCTGGGGCCAGTGATCAGCACTGCAGGACAGGCACTGTAATGTTGAGGAGCAGAGAATGGGACACTGGAGGGAGAAACTGGAGGAGACACTAGACAGAAAACTGACAGATGACTTGTGGATGTGATCAGCAGCCATTCCAGCCACCTAATCACATTCGCAAAGCAGTGCAGGGGTACTGTGAAGTGTACAAACTGTTTGAATGTGCTTGCCAGTTTGTTAGCTGGTGATCATATCCGTTCAGTAAAAAAGTGTAAGATAGAATTTGAGTGAAGCACACTGAAGCAAACATGAGCTTACAGGATTTAAAAATGCAGTGGATATAAGGTTTACTTCACATTGATTGATTAATTTGTTTCTTGACCTGTTTAATACCTTCTACATATAACATATCAAATGTGACCAAGTTGCTTGATCCTACTGTTTAGCTCTGCACTGGCTCAGCAAGTACTGTTTTTTATAGTATGGATATTGGAGAAATAGAAGGGATCCCTGTGGTGTTTCCCAGTGTGCTTACACTTAAGTGGCAGCTGTGGAAACCAGAGGTAAAGGAAGACCTCTGCCTCACCTTTTCATTTGCTTCATAATAGGAACAGCTCTGCTAAATATAATAGATAAAATAGTGTTGCAAAATCAATACTAAAAGAAAGGATATGAAACATTCCTGTCTAGGTAGGAACTTCATTACATTACCATCTACCGATGTTGTATAACCCGTTCACTGGAGTTGTTGCTTAGCAGGCCCTGGAGTCCATGCCCAATTTACATACAGTAGCTTGTAAAGAAATGGGATAAAGCCAGGTTTGCAACCCAGAATGAGCACCATGAAGTATCACTGCTAGCATGAAAAATCCTGTGTCTTTTATGTTTTTTCTGTAAAATCAGATTCTAATTATAACAAGGCGTGAGCAACATTTATTAAAAGGCATACAGATTTGAAAGTAGAGCACAGAAAAATAAACTGAAAGGCTAGAATAGTCAGGGTTAGTCTGATAACATTTCTTTATATTTGTTTTCTTCACATGCATATTACTGTTATTTATTTATCCAGTAACAACATATTTTTGCAACATTTTATTATTTGTGGTTAGCTGAATACAGACAGAGGATAGAAGAGAACATGTTTCAGCTCTGTAGTCACATTTTCAGCTTGAATACAAATCTATAACCTGTATAACTAATCAAAAGGTGAAGGAATATATGGCTGTTAAGACTATGTAGAACATATAACTTGGGGACTTCAAGTATTACTCTGAAGGGTTGGATATTAAAATTAAAAATAGAGTTGAAAATTAGTAGGGATTTACAGATACCAGTTCCGATACTTGGCATTTTCACAAGCGATCAGGGTTGTAACGGTTGCAGCTGCGGCTGGGCCCTGGTGCCCCAGTATTGTCTTAGAAAAATGGTCACATGACACAAAACAAAAATGTATCAGTAATTGATATCTGTGAGTACTTGGATTGGTATTGTTACTTGTACTTGGTCTGGAAAAAATGGTATTGTTGTTATGTACAGGTGAAACTCGGATAATTAGAATATCGTGCAAAGTTCATTTATTTCACTAATGCAACTTAAAAGGTGAAACTAATATATGAGATAGACTCATTACATGCAAATCAAGATAATTCAAGCCGTGATTTGTCATAATTGTGATGATTATGGCTTACAGCTCATGAAAACCCCAAGAACCCCAAATCCACAACCTCAAAAAAGTAGATTATTACATGCAATCAATAAAACAAGGATTGTACATAGAACAATATCGGACCTCTGAAAAGTATAAGCATGCATATGTACTCAGTACTTGGTTTGGGCCCCTTTTGCAGCACTTACTGCCATTACTTTTGCACGATATTCTAATTATTCGAGTTTCACCTGTATATTAAACAAATCATACATTAAAACAGGGATGCACAAATCCCAGGAGCCCCATAGCCAATGCGCCTTAAAAATGACAGCTGCCTCCTAACTTTTGGATTTTTCTCTAAACTAGTCTTGGATCTGGAAAAGTATAAGTATGAGACCTTGGTATCTGTGCTTCCCTAGAAATTAGTGTGGAGGCATAGTAAAGTGCACATCTTTTTTTGGGAGGGAAAAAGTGGAGAGAATACCTGTCAAATTTCTATTGCTGTCTATATACCTGTTAGGCTCTCTGTTTGTCCTGGTGACAGTTATCACTGAAAGTAAAAGTGAAAGAAAGTCCCTACTTTTGGGTTATCATCAGAACAGGAATAGATGAGAAATCATCCAGTAGGACACTAGTTCTGGTGACCCTTCTGACTACCAGAGATTTCTCTCCCTAACTCAATTTCAATCTATTACAAAAGTTTTGGTTTCAGTTCTACTTTAAGAAGGCAGTCATAGCGCAGTAGTGATACAAGACAACTTTTTTTTGCGTAAGAACTTTGAATTGATTAATGATTTTTACTTGTTTTCTTTTAAGAATAAAAGGCTTTTAAAGGTCCCAGTACCCCTAACTTCCTTTATGAAATCTTTAGATTTCAGTTACTTTGAGATCTCATATGTCAGAACTGTGACTTCCATTAGGCTTGAACATGCCTTTAAGACACAGTGACCCTAATTTACTAAAGGAATTAGTTCATTTTGAAAGGGAATTTTCACTTAGTTTAGTGAATGTGCTGAAAATTCACTTTGCAATGAATACCAATCACGATCAAGGAATTTTCTTTAAACTGGATTTTTGTCTGCACATGATTGGATGAAGCTTCTTTAAAGCACAACTTCCTTACATTCACTAAGCTAAATGAAAATTCCCTTGCAAAATAATAATTAAAAAAAAGAACTTTATCAGCAGGGTACAATCAACATTTTAAGAACCTGTAAAGCAAAATTGGCGATGTAGTTTCTGGTTTCTGTAAACGTTCCAATCAAATCTTATTAGTTTGTATTTAAATCGATGATCATACATTAAAACTGCATATTCAGTTTTAGCTTTTCCTCTTCCAAAGACTATGGGGTCTATCCACTAAGCTGCCGTAGGCAGCCGAGTGAATGACCGACCTAAAGCGAAGTGAGCCGAACGCTGTTCGGCTATTCACTTCAGGCTGGTACGGCTGATTTCAGCCGTATATCTGCTAAAATCAGCCGTACATCGGGTGGCTTCGGGTCGGTCGAACATGTTCAGCATGTTTGGCCGACCCGAAGTGCAGAAGGAGTTTGACTGTTCGGCATCTATTCTCATAGATGCCGAACAGCAGTGAGTGAATAGCCGAATGCTGCCGAGCGGCATTCGGCTCAGCTGTTCTGCTCGGTCTCTCTGTGGGACCGAGCAGAACAGAAAAACAGTTAAAAAAGTAGAAAAATAAAAATAGAAAACAGTTTTCTATTGGCCGCCGCTTCTGCTGCCGTCAAAAAAACAAACAAAAAAAGCCTAACTCTCTCGGGCGCTACGGGAGTCTCCCGCCGCCAAGGAGAGAAACACTGCTTTTTCTTTTTTTTTCTTATTCTGACACGGAGTCGTATATGTATATGTATAAATAAATACATTTTTGGCCATAGGAATGCATTGCTAGATTACTATTGGCTATTTCAATTTGCAATAGCCAATAGCAAACTAGCATCGTACCTATCCTCTGCTGCTGTCAATCAGTAGTGGACCTGATGGAGAACTGCAGCAGAGGGCGTGTCAGAATATGAAACAAAAAGGTAAAGCAGTGTTTCACTCCTTGGCGGCCGGGAGTGGGAGACTCCCGGAGCGCCAGGGAGAGTTAGGCTGTCTGGAGATCAGTGTCCCTGGTTAGCTGGTAACCAGGGACGACCTGAACCGAAGGGGGCCGAAGCTAGCCGAAGGATCGGCCAAAGCTACGGCTAGATCCTTCGGCTGCTTCGTGAATAGACCACAATGTGTACAAATGAATTGCTTATTAAACAGAAATCCTCTTGAACCTTTCAGACATTAATATACTTGTGCCAAGATTACCCAGGCCAGATTTATTAGCCGAATCTGATGCCAACATCAGTGTCTTAGCCCTATCTCAAGATTTTCCCTTTGTGAGACCTAATGTGCCTTGATGAGGTTTTTCCATTGTGTTTTATTTGACCATTGCCCCCAAAATTTCTTGTAAAAGAAATGATAACATTTCTAATTCTCCATTTATTGCAAAAATATTAGTTATTTTGATAATAAAGTATTACTGTTGTCTATAAATATCATGTCACATCAATGAATTCAGCCTTATGACAAAGGCAGCTAATCCCTGGTAAACTTTAAAGTGCACAGAAGAAAAGACATTTTGTAAGATCAGCTGCTAATAGCACTGAAAGCTTTCCTCGTAGAGAATAGAACAGAGGTTGTCCTCCTTTAATCGTGGGAGAAAAGGAACAGAAGATAATGTAATAGCAATGCGTAAATGTCATCTGCTTTGGAAATGGCACTGTTAGAATATTGCCCTTTGTTAGCACTAAGAGCTCCAGGAAATGGATCAGTTTTCAAGGTGCTAAACAAGTCTTGCATGGCAAATGAATAGTTAATTGTATGCTTTACAGGACAGCTTCACAGATTATAATTTAAAAACAGCACAATAATGCTTCATGAACCAATATGAACCAATATTATGTTCACATGGTTGCTTTTAAAATAATATGTTTGTATTTTTATGTAATACAATTAAGTCATTAGCTTTTCAAATAGTGTCCAATGTGTAATTACATTAGGTAGGACCCACATTTCAGTCATTGCCATACTTTGTATGCAGGTCTGGAGTATGTTTTCAAGCTATTTCAATTCCTGAGTTCTGGAATCTGCCTATGCCTGAGTTATTAAACATGGAGCTGCTGGGAGTCCACAACGAACTCCTGGTGATGCATTAATGAAATGTGTCTCTTAATGAATGCTTCTGTACAGACAGAATCTCTGCATTGTACACAATTTTGCCAAAATAATTACAGCATACTAAAGAGAAAGCAATACTAAATAGTACTGCAGCTGCAAGTCAGTATGCAGAAATATAAATACCTCTTAAAATCCAATGTAATCCATACTTTCACTTTTCAGCTGGCCACTATCCTTTTAACAAACATTTATGGAGCAGTCAGTTTCTTCAGCAGCAGTGATGAAAGCTACTATTCATTGGCTTTACTTAGGGAAGCTGCTGACTCTGAAGTGTGAGTGAGGAAAGAAAGCAGATAACACCACTCTGAAGAAAGACCCAGTTAAAGCAGCACCACTATCAGTGCTGCAGCTGAATGCCCAGGTAACAGTGAATAGAGTGGGCAACACAACAGATAAATGGAAGATTAATTTTTAGCTGAAGTCTTAAAGCCCAACTCCAGGCTCGATGTAACCACCGCAGCCAAGAAAAAAATCAATATGCTTACTTTTTCTCCAGGTGTCTTTGGCCAGGTTCAGTAAGATCACAGCCCCTAAATGCTACAGAGAGCATAATGACATGGCATTGTTCTATGTAGCATCCCCCCTGTCTGGAGGGGCAGAACCTTGACAATCTCAACTGTGTTAAATGACACTGGGCGTCATTTAACTTAGAAAAGGAGTGGTAGCTAGGAGCCAGAGCAGTGAATCTCTGGGAGACAGCACCAAAGATCAGTTTAGTAAAAGACCGATGCTGCTTTTCTTATTTTTAAAAACTTGATAAGCAGCCCAACGGCCAATTCAAGGAGCTTGCACGGCAGGCTGACAATGCATCTTCTAATTGTGAGGTAGTGGCTTAGCACTATCAGCCTGCAAAATAGATTTAGGGTTTACAAACACCTTAAGGGTCTTCTGTATAAACCTTCAGCCCAGCATAAAGTTGGGTGAATGCCGTTTGCACAGCATGACCACCACTAGATGGCGCAGAGGAGCATAGCTTTAAACTGGGTAGAAGGTTTATACATCAGCTCCTATGTGATTTACATCAAAGTTTAACCAACAACGCTTTAAGGGCCACATGGGTAAATGGCTATATTGTGCTGCAGATACAGAGATGTGCTACAGTGTAATCAGTGTTTTATTGGACTTGTAACAGGTACATATGAAGAATATTTTGCTTGGTGTTTGCATCATGTTAACATATTAGGTCCTGTATATTGAAATTATAAATTGGTCAGGCTGTGTTGTCAAACATACAGCAGCTGTGTGCCTATTTGCATGTGTTTACCATTTTTAGCTATAGCCTGTCTCCTGTACTACGTAGCACTGGGAAAATGTATCAGCAGAAAGGAGGTACAGAGACACGCTCAATGGCTTCTAAATACCATACCATACAGCTGTACAGCAAAATAAACATAATAATAATAATTAAAATGTGATAAAGCAGTAATATAAAACTCCATCGTTATCTTGCTTAGCTTCATAAATATTTCCTTTCGGCTAAAATCGAATCAGCCGCAGCCAAGTACAGGCAACCGTTTAAAAATCAAGCCCAGAATATCTCTGTCTATGTAAACGACTGGAGTTATTCCCTCCCTCCAAGTGTCAGTCAATATTAACGATTCCCCCCAATGATTGAAAATGTTGACTTGTAGCTTGGAGAGTGTAGGGGGAGCAGACAGCCTGGGCGATCATTAAATACGCAAATCGTTTGCATTTGAAATATCAAATGAGTTCTTTTGGGGGGTTATAAATAACTTATAGTAACTCACAAGAATATGTGTGAAAGAGGCTTTTAGTTACAGTATTCCTTTTTCATTTAAAACATCCCGAAAATGCTTCAGAGAGTTTGCAAAATCCTTATCAACATGATAAAATATGAAGCTGTTATTGCCTGCAGCATTATAGCGGACATGAATTCCATCTTTTCTGATGAGGTTTGATAAGGCTCTCTCTTATAATACAGAGCGTAATCTCAAGCCACCAGAGGAAAGATTAATTTATTTGAGGAAGAAAAAAAAAATCAGCTGGGAAAGGGGAGGGGGGCAAAAAGTCTAACTAAAGTGGGCTTTTCCAGCTGCCTTGTGTGGTAAAAAAAATATGTTTGTTTATAAATTAGAATGAGAAGCCATAAAGGACATAGTTGAAGAGCTACAGGTATGATGACTGATTCAGTTTTACATAGTTGACTATAAGGAACTAAACTGTTGGCTTTTATACTGAGTTACATAATATAATTATCCCAAATGAGGTATAGAAGACACCTTAAAAATAAGATAACCCCTTCTTGGTTAAAATTTTAAAAATAAATAAAAGTATGTGGTGTTTGTGATATCTATGATGCCTCATCTCAGTGTTCTACGAGAAATTAACACATTGCTACTCATCAAAGCTGTAACACATTTCAGCATCCCATGCACTGAAATAAACCCTAAGAATGCAAAGGGCATTTCAGGGCAAAATATTAGTGGATAATGTTAACTTGGACATGTTTGTTTTTTAAGATGTATCATGTCATACTATAGACTCTGTTGTGTAACCCTAAATACAATACCTTAACATTGACTGAGTACCTAATATAGACTGAGTGGCAGTCTCTTCTGCTCGTAACAGTCAGTCACACGCCATTGTTTTCTAACCTGCATGAGAAGAATGACAGCTAGTTGACAGCTGAAGGACAACTCTGATACTCTTTTTTTTTTTTAAAGCATGCCAGTGCTCAGGCACAGTTGGTATTAAAAGTAGCATTCAAGGTACTTAAAGGACATTTGTTGTTTCAAGAGGTTTCAATGTGGCATCCTCTTATGCCTTCTCTAGATTGTCTGTGGACCAAGAATTTCTTACACACTCAATATTGGTACATGCAGATCACTGGGAATCATGTAGAGCCCATTGGATACTCATGCACAAATTGTCAGATTGAGCTAGACTTATTTGATAAGCTAGTAAGGTAATGCAAAACCTCTGCCATTTGCCGATTTTATATCCGCCTGAGATTTGTGTTCATGCAACCTGCACAAAAGGGCATAAGTGAGTAGATTGTGAAGTGCTCTCAATGCTCTGCGTATCTTTCTGAATAGGGGTCATATGAATGCCCTGTTATGCCCTAGATTGTTGAGAACACCCAATGAAATGGAGGTAGGTAGCTTTAATCTATGTTGTCATAATACCTTGAAACATTGCTGTACTGTAAAACCAAATGTAAAAATGCAAAAAAAAAATGATTATTTGCCTTACTTTAAATTATTTATGTTATATTTAAAATGTATGTATTGTCTTTTTCTATAGGCTAATGGAGGGTGGCATGAGGCAGCAACTCCTTCCTCCGTCACTTCCCCAACAGAAGGGCCCGGCAGCGTGAACTCTGATACCTCTAACTGAGTAATCCAAGCTCAAGCTGTATGAGTGCATCTCAGCAGCCTGGATGGAGCTTTCTCTATGACATCATTTTAGGTCTTTATTGAATACTTGGTGAAGCAGAGTCCCAGCTGTGTGGAAGAAGATCCCTTTGTTCAGAAAAACCTTCAGATTGGTGGTGCTGCTTTGCCTGGTTCAAATAAGGACCTACATAGCCACATTGTACAAGCCAGCTGAGACAAGTTGCTGGATTCCAGTACGTCTTTTTGGGTTTTTTTTTGCTACCACTTTTTTTTTTTAATCACCACTTTCAAAGCACTTTATCTAATTGGGCAAAGATCTGAGATAGAATTTGAGAAACGATCTCCACGTCCCATCGGCACTTTTTAGTAAACAGCTAAATTGAAGGCATGAACTAGCAGCTTTAAGAAGAAATAAAGTTTGCATGTCTGCCCAGAAATGCTGGGGTCATAGCGAAATGGACATTTTACAATTTCCAACAATGTATAGCTGGTATCAACATTTTTTTTCCAATGTTTTTCTTATATGAAACATTAAAAGCGCTATTGATCTATGAAGATGCATCCACTTTTACAGGGAAAAAACATGTACAGTTTATGCAGTAAATCAATTACTTTAGCAACTGCACTCATTAATTAAGTCCTTTCCTCCTTACATTTAGTTGATTGTTTATTTTGTCATTGAAATACATTTATGCTTAACTTGCTTCTGTGTTTCCAAGTTTTGTTTACAACATTGTCAATTATATTAATTACTAATGATGAGGGGGGCCAATAACTGATTGACTTATTAAACAATTATGGGAATTTTAAAGGACCAGTAAATCTAACATAAGCTAGTTAGTAAAAAACTATAAATTGTGGAAACAATTATAGATGTTATTAGAACCAAAGTTCTATAAAGAAGACATTCTTAAATATAAACATAAAGCTATGTTAACTGTCTGGATACAATAAGAGGAGGGATGCATTTTTTATCATTTCTGGTGAATATGCAGCTTTAGGTAACCTTCAATACTGGCTACAATTCTGAATACCTAGGGATTTGGGCACATACCCTCTGCTGTAGAGAAGATTGGCCAATCTAAACTACTTCCTCTTAGCTGAGATCATATGATCAAGCACCAAGTCCTTAAGGCATGGTGAGCACTGAAAGAAATCTGTAGCAGCATTTTCTCCTGGATGCATATTTACTCACTTCTATTTATCCTTACCAGCCAACTTAAAGAACTCCGAGCAGAAGTTTTGTTAACCCGTGCAGTGGGGCTACCCCCACAGTTCAAGGGTTATCTACTCGTGTTTGCCTAGGGTATAAAAAAATTAAACACTGATACTCACCTGGTCCTCTGAGCCGACTGGCTCATACACCGGTCCCTGGAGTGTCTCTCCCCCTTCGCTGCAGCAGTCTGGGAATCTTCAAGTCATCTTGTCCAATATAGTGTATAGGACATGAGGATGCTGGGGCCCATACCATTGCTGTAGTGGAGGAGGAGAGAGGCTGAAGGGAGCTTTGCTGGCTCTGAGGGTCGGGTGAGTATAACTTTTTTTATTTACCCTAGGCACAACTTGCACTTAACCTGTGCAGTGCAGGGGTAGCCCCACTGCAAGGGTTAATGAAAGTGCTGCCCGGAGTTCTTCTTTAAGATAATTTGTGACCAGACAAGAAACCTATTTTGGTCCAAACAGCTGATTTCCTCTTTTAAAAAACTGTACAGCCTAAAATACAAACAAATACAGATGAGAATGTTGTGCCTGTTGACATAGTAACTATTTATATAGTATGAAATATCTCAAGGTTTGTCACATCATAAAAAATATTGCATATTTATTTGTGAGTTTTAAGCTTTTTATGTGGGGCAATATTTATTGCAGTTTTATTGGCCCTTTAAATACAAAAACATAACATAAAATGTCTAATTGTATAAAAAGAGGGACTGAGCTAGTTTTGTTTGCTGGATCCAGTCTCTCATAAGATGCCATAATGTAAGTGGGTCTAATGTGGTTAATCCATGAGCAGCCATTTTTAACTCAACCCTATAAACCAAAGAAATAAAACATCAGTATTATTACAGTGGAATGTCAGGCAAAACTATTATTTTTTAACTTTGAATAGAGTCAGGAAGGTTTAGCACCCTTGTCAGGTTTAAGTGCTGTCTGTGTCCATATGCGAAACATTTTCCCCTCACTTCTTATAGTGTCATAATGGCAGAAATTGAGAGAAATTCTCCCTAGCTGGGACACAGACTACCAAAAATGTGGCAAAGAGTCTATGCCTTTCCCACTGTATCCAGAAATAAAAAAAATTGTCTTGGCTGGAATTCATTTTTTTAGGTTTTACAATGTGCCTGTTCATTAGAACTAGGACTGTTTTACTGATTTTTATTTTTTTTAAGTGAAACGGTTCATTTAAAAGGGAACTCCACTTGTTATCAGCACCGGTCTAAAATGTGTTTGGTGAAAGGAATCTGGCATGTTAGTGTTGCTTGTCTCCATGTGCGTAATTTTTTTTTGTTCTAATACTACTCCTCCACTCTTTCTGAACTAAAGCAGAACCCCAGACAAATATAAGAGCAATTTTTATGAGTTCATTCAAAAACATGAAAAGGAAATATGCAGACACTACACATTCTCTTTACTATTTCATTCCTATAATCCATTATGCACCAGAACTAGAAGTTGGAGTGCTAGCACTGTGAACCAATTAGACTTTCTTTCACTGCAAATAGAAAAAAATGGCATTCCCCATATTTTGGCTGAAGCCATTATTCTCTAAGGACAAACCTTCTACCAATTTTAAAGGACATCGGTGCCTATAGAAACACGGTGCCATCTCTGGGCAGTGCAAACAGAAATCTCTAAAAGTCTCAGTTATGTGGTTCTTACTGTATGTGGATATACAAGCTGCAGATGGGGGGCAGAATCTGGTTGGTGGGATTAAAAATTCATGTATCCTTTAAGTATTTGATCCATAGACATCTGGGGTAATCCTTTGGCACCTAGATATAGAATGTGGGAGAGGATGGGAGCTGGAAGAGCTAACGCAAGACTTTTATAAAAGAGTAACAGAGGCAATTAATATTAGCGTGCTAAATTCATATCACCAACCTGAGCTAAAATGGCTGTATTGACTTTAACAGTCATTTTAAAATAAGCGCATGCATCTTCAGCAGATTCGGGTTTCAAAGAACGTAATAACTTTTGTTTCCATTCGCCCCTTCCAGTTTTATAGATATCCCAATTTTGATAAAAAGTCATGTTGTAGACTCTTTTTTTTGACAGAAGGGGTTAATTCTCCAACATGGTCTTTTACAGCAAGGTTTAAATGTTGTATACTAAATTGTCAAGATCTGCCATTTACTGAGGTAATTCAAAAACAAAAAAAACAAACCCTGTAAATATTGTAACAAAAGAGAATTTATACATTGTCACCAAGTGAAACAGCTTTATTTACCTCATAAAACTCATAAGAACCAACAGACATGTCACATGTAGATTATTGTGCCCACCTACTACCTCTGAATAACACACTCAGTACGTCTAACTTTTTATCATCGTCTATTTAAAACAGCAGATTGGGCCGCTATGCCCTCAAACATGACTGTGTTGTACTGTGTAGCAGTGCTAAATGGGTGGCAATATTTTCGGCCAGAGCATCCCACTCAGCTCCTGGCAACCAGTGACATCACTGATTGCCAGGAGCTGGGCGGGACTCCGACCAGAGCATCCCAGGTTGCAAAGAGCTGTTAGCATCCTGGGACACTGACCGTAAAGGGGCTAGAGCACTATACCTGCCCCCCACATGACCCAAAGGGATGCTGCCTGCAGCAAGAGCCTCTGGCTGCTTCATTATAGGGTTACAGTTTTCCAAATCCAGTGGCTTGTAAAGCATATGTCTCAATTACCAGTTGTAGGTGCTCAGTAGCTGCCTCACAAGATGTGCTGCCTCAAGCCTTGCTTCTTTATGCAGTTTATACAAACCTTAAGTAAAAATACTTACCTGATCTTTAACTGACACTTGAATAGAGAGCCTGACCTCCACCTCCTATGCCTTTTTAAAGACTCATTACTGTCATGGGCATCCACACTGGTTAATAGGGTGACTTAAAAAGGCCAAAGGGGGGTGGAGTCAGGGTTCCAATCCAGAAAGCTGCCCAGAATTGTGGGGTTCAGGAACACTGAAGAGGAGAGCTAACTTGACATGCAGTCATCTGGAGATGCATGCTATAACATTTTATGGTTAACATCCATCCCTGCCCATAACCACTATATGTATCTCAATGTAGCTTATAAGGTAGACAAAAGTTGCTAGAATTTGCTTTTGAAAAGAATAAAAAATAATTTTAAAGTAAATTATTACTGTAAAAATTCAGATGCAAACTGGCCGAGGGGAGCTTTTTGTGGCAAATTCTGCAAACTGGAGGCATGCCAGGACAGGTGTAGAGCACATACATTACTCTGTTGGTCTGGGATCCCCTGTTTAAACAGCAAAAAACTTAGACATTTGCACTATTACTGTTGTGTTTGTGTCACCATTGCATGTGTCTTCTATTTCTTTTTAATAAACTGGCAAGAAACAATTTAAAATCATTAGTTTATGCCACCAAGTTCTGTGTATAATTAAATGTTATTTTAAAATTCACAGTCCATTGCAAATCTGACTTTTTTGTTTTAGGGCTTCTAAACCTCACCAAGCAAGGGTCAGATTATAACAGGTTGTCCTTGGGCACAAGGGACAAGCTGTTCCCCTAAGAAAGTTCCTTATAAGTAAATAAAATAAAGCAGTATGAAAACATTAAAAAAATACAATTCTATTTTCTTTATTAAACAAGTATTTGATTTTACACAATATTGAGATCTACATGATTACTCAGCGCTGCTATACAGTACAACATGTTATTAGGGTGGTAAAAACTCTGGCATTTTTTAAACATGTTCTGCTGCTTTTCACAGTTTTTTTCCAGTCTGATACGTAATGTATATTGTAATCTTTTGGAGATAAAATTAAAATAAATCTTTTAAAATAATAAAAATTATACACTTTATAAAGCTGCTTTTGCAACTTTCAAGCTTATGAGGAAACATGAGGTCTTATGTTGAACACATTAAAATAAGATTGAACAGTAAAACTGTTGTATATACTGAGACATTTTAAATGTTTTTTCATCTCGTTAAATCCACAATAAAAAAAACAAAATAAAAAAAAACATTGTAATGCATACAGATTTCAGTATGGGGAGGGGGATATGTGACGGGAGGGTGGGCAAAGCGGGAGGTATTGTGGGAATATTTTTTTTTTTCAGTTTCAGTTCATTTTTGTATTGTATGAAGATCTGGCTGGGGTTGATTCATGGGAATACTGATGGTAATGACAATTTGTGGCAGTGATTCTAACATATTAAAATCCAATCTGTTCAGTGTTTACTTTTTAACTGAATTATACCCCTGGATTGAAAAAAAAATAAAAAAAGTCTTCCTTGTGGTAGTTCTATGTAGTTTAAAAATACAAATAAAATGTTTTTGATTTGCTGTTTTGATTGCTGTTGTTTGCTGCTTTTTTATTTTTTTTCTCATATTCTGTTCATATTCTCAAATTATGTCTATAGTTACTAATAGAACAATAAATCATTGTTTTGCTATATTAGTAAATGTAAAATAGCTGTATTCAACAACGAGGAAGAAACTACGGTTCAAATAGTACTAACAAGCTCTCTTTGCTCTCCAAGACAAACCTTTCACTGTTGTCCCTTTTTGCCTCCTCTTCCTTCGTAAGGGAATGATTGCCCACCTTCCCAAAACATGAAGTTAAAGCTCTGTCCCACTACCTGCAGAGTCTACAAGAATGATG